AAGAGATGAGCCAAACAGGGAACCGTTTTCAAACAAAATTTAAAGGAAACATAAATGAGAAAGGGCTTTCTGAGTTAGAAAATAAAACTTGTTTCAGTCTCTGTCTCTCTAGACAAGAAAAAATTCTCAAATTAAAAAATGGTTTCCAGGGCTTCCCTGGTGGCGCAGTGGTTGAGAGTCCGCCTGCCGATGCAGGGGACACGGGTTCGTGCCCCGGTCCGGGAAGATCCCACATGCCGCGGAGCGGCTGGGCCCGTGAGCCATGGCCTCTGAGCCTGCGTGTCCGGAGCGTGTGCTCCGCAACGGGAGAAGTCGCAACAGTGAGAGGCCCGCGTACCAGAAAAAAAAAAAAAAAAACGGCTTCCAGATTGTGGTAACAGTTACACTCCGTGGGTGTGTGTATGTGTGTATATGAACTCATCAAATTGAAAACTTTATTCTTTTGGTTTTTTGTTTTGTTTTGTTTTAACATCTTTATTGGAGTATAACTGCTTTACAATGGTGTGTTAGTTTCAAACTGAAAACTTTAAATTGCATTTATGGTACTTTAATTATCCCTCAATAAATCTTTTTAAAAAAATCTAGAGTGGGACTGAAAGATCCTTTGCCAAGACCTAAGGAAGATTTAAAGTACTGCCTCACAGAATCTTACACACAGACAGACAAAAGGCCTTCTAAGGATCTTAAGGGTGAGCCCTGAAGATCCTCTGTAAATAATAAGGCCTCTAAGACTCTTTTTTTTTTTTTAGCCCCGCCAGACACCCGCCCCCCCTCTAAGACTCTTAACAACCAGTGTCCCATAGCAATCTCACAGGGAAAAATCCACTTATCCACCTTCTGAGGTACTACAAGTGCCATGTGGAGGCTCTAAACCAAGGGCTCTAAGAGTGAATACAGAGAGGGGAGGGGAATCCTTCCTAGCGGAGTGGTCAAGAAAAGGACTGGGAGGGAAGTAACATCTGCATCCAGACTGGCAGAAATGTAAGGTTTGCATTAGAGAGCAGTGCAAGATTAAGACAGAAAGAAAAACCAGGGTTTTTTATGGAAGCCCAACAAAGCAAGCCAAGTTTGACTGTATCATAGATGACAGTAGTTTTTGAGCAGGGAAATCCCAGTCACGTTTATAGGGAGGTGAATGTAGAGGTACAATAAAATAACAGAAGGAACAGGAGAGCTAGGCTTGCGTTCCTCCCCCTGTTAGCTTTGTATCCTTGGGGAGTACCTCCTCTTCTCTGTGTCTGTTAGCCAAACTGTCAAACAAGTGGGTGAGACCAAATGAGCTCCAAGGTTCCTCTTCAGCTCTGCCTTTCTCAGAGTCTATGGACTGAATGGAAAGGGAATCCAAAGTTAACAAGACCTATCATGGAAGATACTATAAAGAGTCAAAGAATACAAGTAGCCTATGCTCTAAGAGGCTGATCGCCCAGCCATCTAGACAACTGGTCAACCAACAGTTAGTCTTCTAGGTACCAGGCACAGTTCCAGGCTCAGAGGAAACAGAAAGCAGTCAAAGTCCTTGACCCCAAGAAGTCTACACTTTTACAGGCACCCAAGTTTCCCACACATACATCCAGAGGTAAGGTTTCCAAAACACAATACAGACAGCCTATATTTGCAAGTCACAATGATCCAGATGCTGGAGTTTCACAGTGAAGCAGCTGTTGAGGAAATAAGCAGACATGACAAGTCTTCTGAGAACAGCCCCTGCTGCCTGCCAAGTCTCACAGTACAAGTGAAATCTCCTGAGAGCAACAAGTGGCAAAGTTTACCCCATCTAGATGGCCGAACTAGCTCTCAACATAACACTTTCTTAGCAACCATTAGCATGACCATTTCTTTTTTTTTTTGGCTGCGTTGGGTTTTTCGTTGCTGCACGCAGGCTTTCTCTAGTTGCGGTGAGCAGGGGCTACTCTTGGTTGAAGTGTGCGGGCTTCTTATTGCGGTGGCTTCTCTTGTAGCGGAGCATGGGCTCTAGGTGCGCGGGCTTCAGTAGTTGTGGCATGCGGGCTTCCGTAGTTGTGGCTCGCGGGCTGTAGAGCACAGGCTCAGGAATTGTGGCGCACGGGCTTATTTGCTTTGCGGCATGTGGGATCTTCCCAGATCGGGGATCGAACCCGTGTTCCCTGCGTTGGCAGGCGGATTCTTAACCACTGCGCCACCAGGGAAGCTCAGCATGACCATTTCTTAGCAAGCAAGTCACTAAGCTCCTTCTGGTCCCACCCAGGTCATCAACACCAACATCATAAAGCCTGACCTCTGGAATTCAGAGGAGCTTTGAGAATCTCACCTCCCACCCCCAGAAATGGATGCAGCCAAATCTAACGAGCTGGAGTGGGAACAGCCTGTGGGGAGGTGAAGCAGCTAAGGGTGAAGCAACGTGACCCTTTGTCCTCACTAACAAAGAGAAAGGGAAGCCTGCTCCAGGAGACCAAAATATAGCAAAGAACAAAACTTTGGTGGTAAAATGAGAAGTTCACATTTCCTCCTCCTGCATATCCTGCCAAATCAAGAATGGGCTATAAAGGAAAAGGAAGAGAATAAACTAGCAAAACACTCCTAAGAACCTAATAATGGAATGGAATCTAGGATCTTTACCCCAAACTAGCTTAGTGGTGGCACCAGGTGAAGTCTTATTCAAATTAAGGATATGGCCTTGCAAATACATATCTTGGCAGTTCCACAGGGTCCCATTTGCCCGTCCCCACCAGTTTTCCATGCCCCTAAGTACCCCTGCCCCCAAAGCTAGATACAAATGCCTCTCAGGATCATCAGCTTCCTCTGCCTCCATGTGGATGATGTGGAGGTCCCCAAAGCAGCCAGGGTTCAAAGGCCCAGCTTTCCAAGGTCCTAGAACCCCTGCACTCCCCAACCGAAGTCCCGGTCATACCTGGGAGTCTTTTCTCACTGGAACTCCTGGGCTGGCAATGATTAAAGGGCCCCAGGTCACAGGCAAATGTCTATCGGAAGGTCAGACTAAGAAATCTGGGTGCCAAGGTCATCAACCCAAACTGTAAAAGCCTTGAAAAAAGAGAATGGATCATCCCCCTCTTTTTCCCCTTTTTGTTTTTCAAAATTGTCATCTGGTGGTTTCTCTGTCCACCAAAGAGCCCAGCACCTACGAGGAGAGCCCTCAGAGTTCACTGACAACTTCCTAAGAACAGTCCCAGATTTGGCTGGGGGTGAAAGCAGCCAGAGAAACCACCAGATGACAATTTTGAAATAATAACAACTACAGTCCAGCAGTAGCCTCTGAGAGAAGACTGTAGCTAGCCACAGAGGCCTGTGACTCCATGCCAAAAGCCCAGGAGAGGAGGGAGGGAAGCGGAAAGGTGGCAGGAAGGAAGGGAAGTGAAGACTTGGCAGGGAAAAATGCCTTTTTTTAGGCACATCAGAGGCTCAGATATTTACAAACACCATCCGTCATGTTATGATGGCAAGCAGGCTGGGAAGCTAAAGGAAGAGCAATTTCTAAAAATGTTTAAAACATGTAGGTATATACTCCAAATAGAAACTAGGGTGCCTGTCAGCAGTTCTGATTCTGCTTTGTGACTTTATGTAAACACTGCATCTCCCATCCCGGTCCCCACAAAGCGGAAATTAGAAGAAAAAAAGAATACTTGAAGGAGCTGAGGGCTGCTGGGTACAGTAATTTCTAATTCAGGTTCTAAATATACTATTTCTTTTCATTTAAGAATAAAATGGTAAAATCACACACAATGCTTATTTCACCCATACAGTCTCATATAAAAAAGTTGGGAACCTTAATTCCCAGTCTCTATCTGCCAACTCAGAGTCAGACTGCAGAGTAAGAAATGCCACCAGACTCGGGGGGGAGGGGGGAGCCCAGCAAAGTGGTTCCTGAAAAGTAGATAATGGGAGACAAAGACTCTGAGATCTAGACCTGTTTCTGCCTTGGCCACCGACACGCCCTGGGAGAGGTCAGTTTTTCTATCTGCTTTACCCAAGAGTTTGTTGGTGCCTGCCATCCTCAGCCTCACCCAGTTCAGGGAAGCAAGTATGCAAGCAACTCTAGTCCAGGTTAGACGGGGTGCGTGCGCAGGGGGTGTTCTCACTGGTCTTGCTGCCACAGAGTAGATATTCAATTTGTTTGTCTAAGCCCCAAGCTCTTATGTACCTAACAAGTCAGAATCTACCAATTTCTGTTCGGTTGGCACAGTCAATCCAGACCATTTCCACTGGGACCAAACGCTGCACATATGGTGTACAGAATTCCTCTTGCCTCATTCACGCCAGTCACTCCCCAGGGGCCACATCCTATGCCCCATTCTACCAACCATACCTGGATATTAGCTCTGAGTGAACCAAACATCTACCACTACCTCTGGCCAGACGTGAGTGTGTGCCATACTCCACTGGACTCAGCCTGGTAATGCACAGCCCAGACCTCCAGGAAGGAACTAGCCCGATCCCAGTGTAAGATGAGCATCCTTCTCATCACTATCCATTCTAGCGGCTGAGGTTCCAAAGGCCAAATCTGCCCAGCTGAGATTCAGCAGAAGAGGCTATGAAGGGTACGTGGCTTTAATAAAAGAGGTTCTTCTAGGACATCAGCATCCAGCCTTGGCCAAGACCTGAGAAGCCCTGGTGAGGGTTGTACAGCTATCTGTCAGCTCTGGAAGCTTCTACCCCACCACTGGGAGGAAGCTAACATTTACTGAGTGGCTTTTTGCCAGGCACTATGCTAAGCACTGACATATATTATCTCATTTAATCCTCACAGAAACTCTGTGAGATAAGTACTATTATTATTTTACAGATGAGTAACCAAAATGTTAGAGGGCATAAGAAAATGCCCTGAGATCTCACTATTTGGTAAGTAGTTAAAGTTTGGCCCAGATTATGCACCTCTATGACTGTCAGAATCATGATGATAATCATTGACATTTGGCAGGAATCCTATCCAGGACACAGGTCACTAGGTGTCCTTTGATGTTACCTTCCAGTGAGCCCCATTCCCTTAGCAGTGCTCCCCGACTCACCTGCTCAGGGTCCCTCGAGGGGCCTTAGTGCCTCCAGCTCCGTGGGTGATACTGGAATTCTTGTTGGCAGTCATGGTCATTTCTGCTCTCTGCAAACACAGAGCTCTGCAAAGAAGACAAGACCTATAAGCCAAGTTTCCATGGGCAGCGAAAAGCACCTCAAACATTTCCAGATGACCTCCAAAACTGCCAACAGGGTTTCTGCGGTGGTTAGCAGGAACCACTTTCCCACATATATTTAATTTCATGTGTTACAGATTAAGAGCCTCAAGGGATCCCTGATCTGGGTTGGGGAAGAGTCTGTGAGCTAACAGATAACTTATCACTTCACAGAAAATGATTTTAAAAACTCCATTTCCATCCTGCTTCTTCTCATTTCTTAAGTTAGAGTTTCCCAAACTTCTGGCATGCCATACAGCCTTTATGAATTTTACCATATTTGCATACCTCCTGAACAATCATTTATTCAATGTTTTTCTTTAATCAACTTGAAACTGACTTACTTTTCTTAAAATAGTTAATCTTGTTCTAAACAATTAATCATTGACAAATATTTACTGAGTGAGCACCCATGTCCTAGGCACTGCCATCCAGCAAAGAATGAAACAAAGTCTCTGCTCTCATGAAGCTTACATCCTAGTGGAGGGAAACAGACAATAAGCAGGCACAAGTCATGTGCGTGATACATAAGTGTACATTTGTGTATAATATGTATAGTGATAAGTGGTAGGAAGAAAACATGAAGCAAGGTAGAGGGAGAGTGAAGAAGATTTGTTTTTTAAAATAGGATGTTCAGGGAAGAACATCCTGATAAAGTGACATCTCAGCCAGAAACCACAGTTATGAGTTATCATATTTTTAACACCCATTAAAATAAAATTATATACTTTAAGGTATTTAAGTATTTACAAAGTGAAAAATGTCTGTACATGTACCATATACAGTTAGCTAATATAGTAACATTATTTTATGCTAAAATAAGAAAAGGAAGAAAAATGTTAAAACTTAAGGGTACATCCAGACTGGAAATTGTCTCCTATTTGCAGATGGTATGATCCTCCACGTAGAAAATCATAACAATTCCACTAAAACACTCTTAAACTAACGTATAAAGTCAAGCAAGTTTGCAGGATACAAAGTAATATTTAAAAAATCAATTTTCTTTCTATATACTAGCAATGAACAATCTGAAAATGAAATTTTAAAAATTCCATTAATAATAGCAGCAAAAAGAATAAAATACTTAGGAATAAACTTAACAAAAGAAGTGCAAGACTTATGCACTGCAAACTACAAAACATCACGGAAAGAAATTAAAGAAGATATAAATAAATAGAAAGGCATCCCATGTTCATGATCGGAAAACTCCAAGTTGTTAAGATGGCAAGATTCCCCGAATTGATCTACAGACTGAACAGAATACTCATCAACTGCAGAAATTGACAAGCTGATCCTAAAATTTTGTGGCAGTGCAAGGGACCCAGAGCAGTCAAAACCATCTTGAAAAAGAAGAATAAAGTTGGAGGACTCGCACTCACCAATTTCAAAGCATACTACAAAGCCATGGTAATCAAGACAGTGTGCACAGACGTAAGAACAGAAATAGAAATCAACAGAATAGAATTGAGAGTTGAGAAATAAACCCATACATTTACGGTTAATTGATTTTCAACAAGGATGCTAAGACAATTCAAGAGGGAAAGAAGAGTCTTTTTTTTTTTTTTTGCGGTATGTGGGCCTCTCACTGTTGTGGCCTCTCCCATTGCGGAGCACAGGCTTCGGACACGCAGGCTCAACGGCCATGGCTCACGGGCCCAGCCACTCCGCGGCATGTGGGATCTTCCCAGACCGGGGCACGAACCCGTGTCCCCTGCATTGGCAGGCGGACTCTCAACCACTGAGCCACCAGGAAAGCCCAGAATAGTCTTTTCAGACAACTGGACATTCATATACAAAAGAATAAAGTAGGACCCTTACCCTTATACTATACAAAAAAAAAGTAAAAATGGATTATAGACCTAAATTTAAGAGTTAAAATGACAAAAGCGAAGCCTGGAATACAACATAGAGGTAAATCTTTGTAACACTGGATTAGGCAACAGTTTCTTAGATATGACACAAGCAACAAAAGAAAAAAGATATAAACTGTATTATACTAAATAAAAAACTTTTGTGCTGTAAAAAATACCACAAGAAAGTAAAAAGACTCCCACAGAATGGGAGAATTATTTGCAAATCATATATATCTGCTAAGCAACTTGTATCTAGAATATATAAAGAACTCTTCCAACTCAATAATAAAAAGACACATAATCTAATTTAAAAGTAGACAAACAGAAACTAACACACCATTGTAAAGCAATGATACTCCAATAAAGATGTTAAAAAAAAAAGTAGACAAAGAATTTAAACAGACATTTCTCCAAAGATATAAAATTGGCTAAGAAGCACATGAAACAATGTTCAACATCACTAGTCATTCGGGAAATACAAATCAAGACCACAGTGAGGTATTACTTCACACCACCAGGATGACTCTAATCAAAAAGATAAAAACAAGTGCTAGTGAGACTGTGGAGAAATGAAAACCTTCATTCACTGCTGGTGGAAATGTAAAATTGTGCAGCCACTTTGGAAAATACTTTGGCAGTTCCTCAAAAAGGGATACACAGAGTTACCATAAGACCCAGCATGATTCACCCCTGGGTATACAGCCAAGAGAAATGAAAACATGTCCACACAAATACTCATACCAATGTTCATAATAGCCAAAAAGTGGAAACAACCCAAATGTCCATCAGTGGACGAATGCATTAACAAAGTGTCGTATATCCATAAAATGGAATATTATTCAGACATAAAAAGGAGACATTCCACAACATGGATGAACTCTCATGCCATTTTTATGAAATGTACAGAATAGGCAAATCTGCAGAGACAGAAAATAAATTAATGGCTGCTTAGGGTTGAGTTGAGGGTAGGAGAATGGGGAGTGACTGCAATGAGTATGGGTTTTCTTTTGGGGGAGTGAAAAAAAAGTTCTGAAATTAGATAAACAGTGGTGATGGTTGCATAACTGTGAATATATTTTAAAAATGAATTGTACACATAACATAAGTGAATTTTATGGTATGTGAATTATATCTCAATTTAGATGTTAAAAAAAACTTTAAAAAAATTTTAAGTCCCTTGGAGAATAGATGTGAGAGACAACAATAATTCACAGTATCTCTAATGTGAATGTGCACTCTGTTCTGGGCCAACACCACCTGCACAGACGCTGAACAGTTCAGGAACAATAGTTCTCTCACTCTAATTGGCATTCTCATCACACTGACCAAAATGAAGTATGTTTGGATGTGAAAGTTAAACATATTTATTTATGGCCACTAATGACCTTAATCCTGGAGGCCATCTTACTTATTATCTTGGTGCAAATAAGTGATTGGTTTCGATGATAAAAAATAAGCCAGACCCTAATTCTTGATATCATTTATAATTCTTTCCTAATTTCAACATGAAATGCACTCTCTCTAATTTCCTTACTTTTATGCAATCTCTCAAGGTTGTCATTTTGGTGATGGTAGTGGTGAGTGAAGTGGGAGCTGGAAGGGAGGAAGCAGCCCGTAGGTGCTAGCAATGGTGATAGCAATGAAACATCCCCCACGATGCTTTTAGAAAAAGGAAACAAACCCTGAGCCTCATTTTTATCCTTCATGAAAAGCCTTCCCGGGCTTCCCTGGTGGCGCAGTGTTGAGAATCCGCCTGCCAATGCAAGGGACACGGGTTCGAGCCCTGGTCCAGGAAGATCCCACATGCCGCGGAGCAACTAAGCCTGTGCACCACAACTACTGAGTCTGCGCTCTAGAGCCCGTGAGCCACAACTACTGAGCCAGTGTGCTGCAACTAATGAAACCCGCGCACCTACAGCCTGTGCTCCACAACGAGAAGCCACCGCAGTGAGAAGCCCGCGCACCTCAACGAGGAGTAGCTCCCGCTCACCGCACGCAAAGACCCAATGCAGCCAAAAATACAATAAATAAATTTAAAACAAAAACAAAGGCTTCCCTACCTATTGAGGAAAAAACTTTATAAACTTAAGTATATAGCATAATGTTAGTATGAGGAGAAGGAAGAAGGGGAGTCCATCCTGCCACCAGAGCACCTGTGCACACCGGCTCTGGTGAGATATTCTTTACCTGCACCAGCCAAGGGCCAAGTTAAGTGCTTGGCGTATGGCTGTGTGTGTTAAACAGAAAGAAGGGAAAGGAGAGGCAGCCTCTGGAAGGTTTCCCAGACCAGTTCTCAGGGTCCTCAGGGAGCACAGTGCTACAAGGAATCAACTTGCTAAGCATTAGCTTTCAACTGTGCCCATGGTAACAACGGTCACAATAATCATCAGGACCCATCATAACCACACTGGACATGCTCTACCAGCTCCAGGGCAGGCCCTCAGGGAAAGGAGAGAAGATTTGTGGAAAGACCAGAAACTGAACTATATTAAAAGAACATGATGAAAAATATATTCTTTCCTTCCCTGAATCTCTGATGTAAAATGCTCTGAAATGCAGTCATATACTTGAATATGAGAACACAGAGCCAACTTAGTCAGAAGGAAGAATGTAGAGAGCTGTGATTTTTGCTTGGGCCAAGAAGAAAAATCCTGTGAAGATGCAACCAAGAGAGGAGTGGGTCAAAACTACCAGGCCCACGGCATTGACCCTTGGTCACACTTCTGCAAGAACACAGCTGCTATTCTCAGCAGTGGCCCAGGAGTTGAGGCACCTTGGGCAGGCACTGCTGAGAACCCCAGGAGAGCCTACTAAGTCAGAGATGCTTACTCACTGTGCTCCCTCCCACCTGCTCTCTATAGCCAGGTCTACCAGGTTCAGGGAATAATCCAGCGGCCTGAGGAACTAAGGACCAGGCTAACCCTTTACATCTGAAGCGCAGACTTGAGCACTCTGCATGGCAGGCTTCCTGGGGGACACTGCTTCTCCCAAGGCCCTAAGCACCGCCCCAGGCTCCCATCTATGCTTTCAGCCTGATTGCTTGGCTAGTCTGGCTGCAAAGAGAGAGACACTCCCAAGGAAAAGAAACACCCA